AAGTTGGCAACACTGACAGATGAAGATGTGGGCCCGTGATTGCACCACCACCGCCCCGCACAGGCCCGCCGAGCCCCGCGAGACGGCAACTCGATTCGCGCGCTGATTTCATCAGCCGTACACGAAGATGGCGGCGTCTGGGGACGAGCGAGGACGAGGGGAGTGTGATAAAGGAACCAAAGGTAGCTGCTTGGGCTCCAAATCGTGCTGCCGCTGAGCGAAAGAGAGAGGGAGAGAGAGAGAGAGAGTGTGTGTGAGAGGAAGAGGGAGGGGGAGACAGAGAAAGAGAGAGTGAGAGGAAGAGAGAGGGAAAAGAGGGGATGGAGGAGGGGCAGGAAGCGCGGGAAGGAAGTTAACCGCAACCCCTACCCCTGACAGGGAGGCACAAGCGGCAGGGACTGAAACTTCATTTGCCAAATCGAGCGTCTTGTTCCGTCAGGAAGGGATCGATTTCGCACAGCTCAGCCGGGCGCGCGCGCTCGCTCACGTACACACCGTTACACACACTCAGGCACGCTCGCACACACACACACACAAACACACACGGGTCTGCGAATCGCGTAGGCACGGCGGATAGCGGCACACGTTTCTCACGCCTTCTTAAATTTCGAGTGCCGTCGTAAAGTCGTAAGTGGCCGGGTCGGTCGGCGGCCGGGCGTGGCGGGGCAGGGTGGGGCGGGGGAGGTGGCCGCCGCCATGCCGCTTACCCCGCGCCGGGCGGGGTGGGTGGCGCGGTGGGTGGAGCTCCCAGGGGAGGAAAGATGAGATCCGTGGGCCGCGCTCCGTACTCACTCCTTGGCCGCCGCTACGCGCCGCGCCCGCCCCGCAAGGTGCCGGCGCCCTGGCCGCCCCGCTACGCGCCGCCACGCCGTGCAACGCGCCCCGTATGTCACCGCGATTGGCCCATCGGTCTTCTTTACGTTGGGCCCCAGGAAACTGGATTGGACGGAACTACCCAACCCGATCGGCAAAACAATCCGGCCCCGGCGCGCACGAGATGCTGGCGCAGGGGGGGCACAACCCCGCGGGCAGAGGGGAGACACGAGACAACAAGGCCCCGGGAGGTGTGAAGCCAATCACAAGGAGTCAATAGAATCCGCCTCGCGAGCTAACTTTCTCAATATCGCCGCCCCCGCCGCACACTCACGGGGCGAACGCGGAAACTCCGATTGGGGGGGGGGGGGGTAGAGATCCCAAGAAAAACTATATTGGCGCAGAGCCCCAGAAAAAAAAACATAATTCCGCGCTAGGATTGAGACAAAAGTAAAACAGCGTAAAGTTTCCTTACACAGAGATAAGGAGTTTTACAGCTTTATTACGGCAAAAGACACTGCTGCCAACTGTTTTCGACCTAGTGCACATTGCACGAGGTGCTCGCTCCTGCTGGCTGCCGCGGTGGAAGGTAGAAAGAAGCCCAGCCCGGCGGAGCAGCCCATCGCGATTGATTTGAAATGGATGAGATTTTCCCTCCCCCCGCCGTCCGGGAGCAGCCGATGCGCGCCTTGTAACTGATAGGGGCAGCAGAGCACCGCCAAGGAAACACTAAAAAATAAATATCTCATGAAGCCAGCTCAACTCTGCAGAAAACTTCAAACTTGTTGCCTGCACCGAGGAAAACGAACACCCCATTAAAATTGACTTGGGGACTATGCGATAAGGTAGGTCCACCCGTTCACACAACGGTGTTCCTGGGTATGCGTTTCACAGCGTTGACAAACTTCATTGAGCTGGCGGCAAGGGGTCCCCCACTAGCCAACTCGTTGTACACTTGAACGCGCCCAACTCACGATAAAACTCGCAAAAAATCCCAAATACTCTCAAAAACTCTCGTCCAACTCGCGAAAATTTGCGAAAACTCATGCCAAACTTGCGTTTCATTTGCGTTCAACTCTCACCCAACTCGCTTCATCTTCTCAACTCGTAGTACACCTATTTTGGGAGTGGGGGATCCCTCGGCTGGCAGCCAGGTGCCAGGAAGAAAAGGTTAGAGCAACTAGCAGAAAAATAGCCGCTGCGCAACGGCAAAAACCGATAAAAACGGTGTCATGGTTAGCATATCTCTTATGAAAAAAATGCAAACGGGCGTCTTTGTCATGTTTTTTTCCAAAACTGTTTGAAAACAAGGACGTCATTTATGGGCAATTCCTGGAGAAATTGTAAAAACTGTCCGTCCGTTACGCGATTTGGAAGCGACTGGGAGGCACTACGTTGTTTTAATACATGTCCTGCTGATTTATCATCTCAAGACGCGTCCAGTCATGTCTTGTCCGAAGCAGCAGCACCTCCAAGTCACTCACAAATCACGTGACGTACGGTGACCCCTTCCTGAAATTCCTCTTATACCGTGTATACGTAACCTTATACCTTATACGTCTCAGGCGTTCGCCAAAGTCCCGAAGGAGGCCATTATTGGCGTTCGCAGACGCCAATTTGTTGGCGTCCTTTAGAGGACGCGCCCTTATAAACCGGTTTGTAGCGTCTTTTTAATCCATCCTTATTTATTATCTCCTTGCACTGTTAACAAGGCAGATGTACGACAGACCGTGTCTCGCGTGACAAGCTTCGCGATATCTCACGAAACACTGTTACGCTGCGACGCGCCTGACATACATCTACCTTGGCCTGTCGCGCTGACACCTAAGTCGAGTAGTAAAAATAAAATAAAGTACGCAAAGATACAGGCCTACGGCCCGCCACTTTCGTATAACAGGCAGGGTTGTAATTTTGTCGCTTAATTTCGCTAAGAATACCC